CCATGCCCCAACCCAGTGGGCATGGCAATGTTTTCCTCCTCCCCTCAGTCCTCACTTCATGACACTCAATGGCAAATATTACAGTTCTAACTCATAAACCCCAAAACTTTAGCTCTGATTTTTTTTCCCCTGTGGAAACGGACTAGAAACTGATTTTTCCTCCCCCCTGTGGAAAAGAGCTAGAAGTAGTTTTCCAGATCTGGATATTCTTACTATGAATGATAGAAAAGCTAGAAAGTTAGGCATTTTGCAATATATTTTAATATTTACTTTGACTATATCTTTTTTATTAAGTTATTTATTTTAATTCCACTTGTTATTATCAGTTATTATTATTATTTTTAATTTGACCAGACAGCGACAGAGAGAAAGGGCAAGTGAGAAAGAAAGCCACCAGGTCTGGGACTCGAACTGTTGGGCAGTGTGGAAATCCAACACCTTTAACCACCATGCTACCTGCTGGCCCCTGCTTTGACTATATCTCTGTAAATATATGCCCTTGATCCTGAAGCAGAAATCTCAAGGTACCTGCCTTCTCAACATGTCACTAAATCTTTGACTCATGTCAGTAGTCAATAAATGATCACTTTACATTTTATTTGGTTTCTTCAGTTTTCCTATCTTTTCTTCTAGCATTCCCACACTTAATTTGTGACTCCTTGTCTTCCTTTTTCCCAAACACTTAATTTGTGACTCCTGGTCTTCCTTTTCCCAGTTATATTTACATTCACTTTCTCTGCTTTCTTCTCTTATCTGCCAATTCATTTCATCTTTCTCCTTCCACTTTCCTTCCTACTTTTGTTCTTTGTAATCTTCCTCTATTTTCTCCTTTTAGACCTGCATCTTCATTCTGTTTTTATTTTTTTTAAAAGCTCATTTATTTTTTCCTTCCTTCCTTTTTCTTCTTTTTTAATTTGCCGGAGGGCATGTATATTTACCAGAGAAAAGGAGAGAGGAAGGAGAAAGCACCTCCCAGTGGGGCATTGGTAACATTGTAATCCCTTTTCATCTCTCTGGCCTATTGGGAAGTGAAGCCTGTGTACATGCCCTGCATGTTTTTCACTGGGGCTGGAATTCAAACTGCAGAGTTGTGCATGTGGGAGCCAAGTCCCTTACTCTCCAGGTAACAAAGCGGCCTGTCTTTTAGTCTTTTTGTTGCTCTTTCTCTCACTCTCTCTCCCCATAGGTCTTTTTCCCCCTGAATTCCAACAATAGAAGTTTATTTTATTCACTGTTATTAATCCATCATGTCACCAAAAATGGTGGTGGAAAGTAAAACTTCAGTCCTAACTTCACTATAAATACCTACCCCTCTCTTTTTTTGAATTTATTTATTTATTTATTTATTTATTTGAGAAATGACTCTTGAACGTCAGTTTTTTTTTATGAATAAATATGGGTATAATGCTTGCCTCAAATGCATGTGAGCATTAGAAAAACTGTAAGACATTGTAGGAATTACTGGAAGACTGTGACTATGTGAAAATATAGAACTTATATTCATTCTACCACATGAATATAGAGGAACCGCAAATTCTATTACTTTAGTCTTGTAATTTAAAAAATTCTCAATTTTTGTTCCTAATACTATAATCCAGTGTCTGAAATAAACTGTATACAGACAAGTCTCAGTTTGTAAACATGTAGTTATGAACAACTGTATCTTGGAACCCCAGTTTTTAAAAGGTTTTTGGCATAGGACACATGCACTCACTGGAGAATGATGGAGAGAGAGAGACAGTGAGAGGGAAAGTGAGAAATCAGCCCTCCCAGGGAAGATGGCCATGCTGCAATCCCTTCTCCTCACTCTCCTCCTGGGATCTTGGACACACACGCACACACACCCAGTGTGATTTTTAAGCTGTCAGATCCAGGACTCAAACTGTGGTTGCCATGTGGGAGTTCAGTGCCTTAACCACCATACCACCTGCTGGCCCTGGACCCAGAATTTAAAAAAAAAAATCATGCTTCTATGGAAACATGTAATAGGGCAGGTTGGTAAAAGTTGGCAGGGATAGGACCTGATGTCCTAGAGATAATTTCTCAGAGCAATTAGAAATAAAAAGAAACTTAAAATTTGCGTTATTTTACAAAGTGAAGGTAACCCAATAAAGCAAAAATTATTTGCGTAGAAAGCAAGATGTTTAACTTGTATTGCATATTGGTTCTAAAGAGCTCGGAAACACCTCAGGAAGGACCATTCCCTAGGGGGTAATTTTTTTTACATTGTATTTCAGTTTCATAATTAACATATTTTCATTGCAGAACCTGCCTGAGTGAATTAATTGACTGGACTGCTTGGTCCTTGAGTCTGTGGGCACCAATCATTGAAATTAAAATAAATCATTGTTCTACTTATGGTACCAAAGCCATTATAATTAAGAATGAGATGACTTACCAAAGGTTTTTTGAGAGAGCTCTAGGGGAAAAAGAAAAAAAAAAGAAGAAAGAAAAAAAGAAATTAGCAAGTGCTTTTAGGCTCTAGAAGTACAGCTCTCTTTATACGCTTGCTTAGTAAGACTCTGCTTCGCTAAATTTAAGATCAGGTGTAAACGGTGCAGGGTGTTGACTTGCTGGAATGCTATGAGAAGCTAATACATAGAAGGGCTCCCCATCAAATGGATCCACCGAGGGTAGATTACAAGTGTACTGACTAGAGGTTACCCATTGGTTCATTTAAATGCTGTATAGGATTAGAAAAGTCCTCCTGCATTTAAACTTTACTTTCTTTTTCTCATTACACTTCTTTCCAACTCAGTTTTGAAAGTCATTTGTGCGATATGCCTAAGCTTTTGGAAGCCTTCTACAAAGATTTATCTTCCACTTTATAATTTGTGGTCATCAGTGAAATGTACATTCATGGGATCATCAACGACTTGATAAAATGCAAGGTAGCAGAAAGAGAAAAAAAAAAAAAAAAAAAAAAAAAAAAAAAAAAAAAAAAAAAGCGAACTCAAAATTCTTGAAATCTCAACATGGAAACCGAAGAACGATCCCTAAGATACTGCAGGAAATGAAAAAGTTCCACAATGGAAAATCAAATAGCAAACTTACTGATAGGTCCTGTAGCTCCAGCTGAGAGAGAAAGAGAGAGAACGAAATATCAGTGTGCTTCATTGCTGTGAAGGAAATACCTGCCCCCCAGCGCTTACTGTAGGAGTGCCATACATGGAAATCCTGTATACAATCTCTCTCTCTCTCTCTCTTTTTTTTTTTTGGAGAGGTTTTTGCTATAGGGGGCATGCACTCAGCAGAAAGACAGAGACAGACAGAAAGCGAGAAATCACCTCCCGGGAGGATGGCCATGCTGCAATCCCTTCTCCATTCTCCTCTGGGGATCTTGGGTATGCACGCACACGTGCCCAGCATGAGTTTCAGCCACCGGGTCCAGGACTCGAATTGTGGTCAACTACATAAGAGTCCAGCGACATAGCCATTATGCCAACTGCTGGTCCCACAATGTCTCTATTTTTCAGTTATTTATTTCTAGCGTTTTTCCCCCCCATAGGGCACCTGTGCTAGCCAGAGAGAGACAGAGGGAGAAGGAAAATTAGAAATCACCCCCAGGGAAGATGGCCATGCAGCAGGCCCTTATCCTCATTCTCCTCTTGGGATTTGGGACATGCACACACAAATGCCCATTGTGTTTTTTAAGCTGCCAGATCTGGAACTCAAATCGCAGAGTTGAGCCTGTGGGATCCAGGACCTTCACCACCACATCATCCGCTGGCCCAACGCTCTGTTTTCCTTACTTTTATTTTTCTTTCCTCATTTCCTTAGAGACTTATGGTTTATTTTGATAGTATACCTTCCCTTGCTAGTGGTTCATTATGATTACTAAGAGGGGTCTTTTGTTTTCTACTTTCTTATGGTAGCCTGTGGGGATTGCAGTCTCTCCACTTTATACATGGTCTCTGGAAACCGTGTAATAGAAATGCTAGGGGAGTCGAGAAACAGTGTCATGTAGCAGGGCAGAGCCAGTCTGAGAATTTGTAAATCATATGTCAAAGGGACCAGGGTGGAGAAAAATCTTGGTACTTACGGATAGGCGCTGTGAATTGCACTGAAATACAAAAAAGGTGAAAAATCAGTGTGATTTGACATTAACAGCATTCTCATCCACCAGTATTGTTTCCAGAGAAACTGCAGAACATCTCAACCAGAGGGAAAATAGCTACTGCCGGACTGCAGGTCGTTTTAGCATGGGAGCCCCATAATCTTCCCATCATAGCAAATCATTCAGCATCCATCTTAAATGAGAAGTTGGAGTAAATTTTGAAAAAGTTTGAGTAAATTTTGAAAATAAAAACATATACAATAACATTTTTTAAAAAGTAAGAGAAAATTTAAATATAACTACTTGACTTTCCCTTGTCTTAAATTCAGTGGCAATTTAGGGCATTTTGTCTGATGTCTGGGATGTCAGGAGGTGTTAGGAGAGCTGAATGCAGTCAAGAAGCATGACTGGGAAATCCTGCAGGTATAGAAATGGAAACAGGTAGTGTGCATAGAGGAAACCAGACCCCACAGGCAGCCAAAGAGCATTGGAATTAGGAAAAAGAGAACGAACTCACTTATAGGTCCAATAACTCCAGCTGGAATATGAGAAAAACAAAATAGAATTAATTAGAATGGTTCTTTGGCATGTGAAAATACAAATACAGATTACATTGAAATGCTTTCTGGGAAAACATCAAAAAGTAGACACCAGGAGTAAAATTACCACTTTGATGGAGGATTTCCTAAAGTTTTTAAATGCTTCATTTCAGCTTGGGAGGCCCCAGTACTGCAGGGATCTGACAGCTGAACCTGCAGAGATGCAGAGTCAAGATTCTCTCCCCAGTGGGGGTCTCTTTGTATCTCAGTAGACTGCAGAGGCCTTTGCCTTTCTTCTAGCTGGGCTAATTAGAACTTGTTTAGCTAGAATTACAGGCTTAGCTTCTGAAGGAGGCAGTGGACATTCTTGTATCTGTGGTGCCTTTGACTCACATTCATCAGTGTAATTTGACTGGTAACATCTTAGTATAAGAGGGAATAGAAAAGAGGGAATAGAAACTGTTACATTGGAGACATTCATTGGTATGGTTGGGGGTAAAGAGACGGAGACACTAGACAGAAGCTTGGCAATAATATCCTTCTTCATTTTAAACACACACCCCCACAACACACACACACCCACACCACATCTTTCTGTATCTTGTAGGCTGTGTGTGCTATTGTGACACCTTCACAATTTTTGCTTTTGAAGTTTGAATTTTGACTATTTTAATGTCTCTTGCATACATATAAATACTTCAAGAGAAGTAGACACAGAGTGTTAAAAATCATGAGACCTAATCCTCAAATCATTCTTTTTCTTTCTCCCTTCAGAGTCAGCCCCACCCCAGGAGCTCAAACTGAACATCCTCATACATGACAGATGAAAATATGTTAAGAAATGAGTTAAACCCTGATGAATATGGAGACTTTGCATAGATGGAAAAGTGGGTTAAACTTGATGCACCTACCTTTTATTTCCCATCTGAGGGCAGAAGATTGAAATCTTGTAGAGCAATGCCTTTCAAACTTTAAGGTACACACACATTACCTGGGGATCTCATTAAAATGCAAAGTCTGATTTAGTAGATCGGGGTGGACATCAGTGTGAGATTCTGCGATTCTATTAAACTCTGAGGTGATGCTGAGGCAGGTCTGGGATCTGCTTTAAGCATCAGGGCCATGAAGAGCTGGTTACAATCTCAGATCATTTACGTGTCTTGTTTCCATTCACCATTTTTTTCTTTTCTAAATCAATTGTCTCTCACACTTACCTCACACTCTCTATTCCCTCCCAGTTCTCCTACCAGAATGTTTGTTGTAATGTCATTTAAAATTTTATCTGGCTATCTGGACACTTCTTCCAGACTTACTCTTTGTTCAGAGCAGGGCATACCCTTTTCACACAACCCTCAGAGACAGCTGGGTGACCCTCAGTGAGTTGGGATTTACTACATGTCACCGAAAATCTTGGTGAGTCCTGGATGGAATGGCCGGCACCAAGACTTCCTCTGAGTGTTACTGGAATTTCTTTTTTCTTTTTTTTTTTTTATAATTATTTATTTTACTTATTCATTCATTTATTATTATTATTATTATTTAGTTTGAGCAGAGAGACAAAGGATGAGAATGAGAGAGAGAGGAAGTGAGAAAGCAAGCCACCAGATTCAGGACTTGAACCCTGGTTGGCC